GTCTTTGAGCCTATTATTCGTGATCCTAGAGAAGCTAAATAAGAAGATGAACCTGATGAAGATTATTTAGCTATCCACCAGGAGGTAGGAAATAGACAAGAGTCCCAGGTAACCTCGGGTGCATGGGGGGGTGGGAGGGTCGATGGAGGGGGAGAGGGCTAGAGAGAAGGGAGTAGGGGAGGAACGGGGAAAGCTTGGTGGCCGGGGATGGGGGGGGGAGGGAGGTAGGATGAATATGGGATCAGGGAACAATATATTTCAACTAAGGGAGCCATTTTAGGGTTTACAGGAGACTTGATTATATATGGGATCCCAGGTCCAAGGAGAAATCCCCCAGATTGCTCTCTGGACAGAGGAGAGGGTGCCTGAATCGGCCGTGGCCCATGACCATACTGATGTATATTTTGCTTATCACCATAGATCCTTCGTCTGGCGAAGGACGGCTATGCAGTCGGAGGCCCACATTGGAGCACCGGATTGAGCCCCCCGAGGTCCGGAGGGGGAGCGGAAGGAGGAGGAACATGAAAGACGAAATCAGTACTGCGAGGGATGCTATCACCCACTGATACAAGGGAACGGATCTGATGAGAGTTTACCAGGGCCAGTCGGACTGGGACTGAACGAGGACGTGATCTAGCCAGATTCTTGGAATTTGGCCGGATTCTCTGACTGTGGCTGGCCCGGGGTCTTTCTGAAAAGCCATTGACTATGACACTGGGACCTGTTTCCTCTGCATATGCTGGATTTTGGGGATCCAGTCTGTTTGGACGCTCGCCTTCCTGGACCTGGAGGGAGGGGGAGGGAGCTGGAGCTTCCCACAGGGCAGGAAACCCTGACTGCCCTGGGGGATGGAGGGGAAGGAGGGGGGGAGTGGGGGGAGTGGGAGGGTGTTGGGAGGGGGGGCGGAAATGGAAACTTTTATAATTTAATAAAATTTACTAAAAAAAAAATAATCGCTAGGTGCTTGTGTAAGCTGAATAGAGAAAAAGACCTCACTATGTGTAAAGGCATTTATTTAAGCATACTAACTATAATGTCCCATTTACTGTAATAGCCTGCAATTACTTTGAAAGGTTGATAACAACAACTGTTACTTTTAGGAAAGGAAACTGAAAGTCTGGGAAGCCCAGAAGTTTGCCTAAGGAGACGGTCAGGAGAAGAACCGTGACAGCCCACAGAATCTGCTCTACACCACACCGACCAGGGGCACCTTTCACATTTCCCTTCCACTCAGGTCAGCCATGTAACATTAGACCTGAGCCTCCAGAACAGACTCGAGACCATCACAGTACAATGAGTGACAGCAGGAGGGTTCCCTTTGGAAGATGATGTAGGGAGTCTTCTACCCATCAACAACCAAAGAACTGTTCACGCTCAACAGAGCTCCCAGCACATGAGTGGCTGAGATGCTTTCTGACCCCTAAGAGCAACTCTAGGACCTGAACCTTTAGGTGCAAAGGAGAAAATCTGAGCTGATCTGATCCTGTGACCGGTGCTACATAGCTTCTGTTCCCAACTTCTCTAAGGAAACAAGACAATTTGTAGGATCCTAAGACTGCAACCGAAGAGTTGCTTCTGTCCATGAGATCCATTCCCAGCCACATGTTAAATGCTGTTGCTCACTGGGAGAACATGAGGACAGACAGCTCCAGGATCTCAGGACATAGCATCGGGACACCTGTCCTATCTGTTGTGTCCTGTTGCTTTATCTTTACTGTGAACGCTATTCTACTCTATACACAGAATCCTTGCTGTGAATTCTAGAGCAAGCTCCCCTCAGCTTCCAGAAATCGCAGCCCTGTCTTGTTCCCTAGGCCAGTATCTCTACTTTGAGCTTTACCCATGCATTAGTTCTTATATTTTTTTTATTAAGTTATAAAACATTGTATGACCAGATACTGACTCTGGCTATTGAGAATGGTCAAGCTTCCTGTATGCTGCCTAGATCCCTGGAATTCCCCCTGATCTTTACTACTTTAGGTGGTCCAGAGACATCAAAATATCTCTTTCCTTTTTACACATGTAGCATGCATATAGCACACAAGTGAATGTATTCATCTTTGCTACTACTGATAGAAGAAATATGTATGCTCTAATAACTTTTTTCTTAATGGTCATCATTTTCTCATACGGATTTTATTTTAGAAAGATAAAAAGCAGCCTCTACACACCTGCAGCACATCACCAAGGTCCGCTGTGCTAATATCTGGGTCCTCTGTGGTGTTGAAAGGCACAGGAGTTATCCGTACCAGGGTGAGCACGCGAGGTTCTGGATACCTCCACAGCATCATCCCCGGGCTCTCGTCTGTCTCACTGCAGAACAAGACTTCATAGGCACCAGGGAGTTTCAAAGGTTCTGCCAAATGAAAACAACATTGCAAGTTTTTAAAAAGGAACACGCTGATTTCTCAGAGAATAAAAAAAAAAATCACATAAAGAAACTAACTGATCGGTTTAAATAAGATTTGAGATGGAAAAAGTCAATTTCAAAGAGGGCCTGGCTGGTGTCATCACTTCCACACTGTCAGTGTGAGTGGACCACTTTCTCATGCCCAGTGCTATCAGCGCACTCATTCCACGCTGACACTGCCTGTACTCACCAGCATCCTGGAGGTACTGAAAGGCGCCTGTCCGCAGGTCATCTGAACTTGGTTCACTTTTCAGAGCTTGAGTCTTATCCACAGGAGATGGCAATTGGGGTGCTGATTCGGGAACCGGCACTTCAAAGCTCCCCTCTTCCTGAAGATACCCACTGAATAATTCATGCAGAAGGGACAAGCAATTCAAATGCTCTTGACCCCAAAAGACCTACAAAAGGGTATGAAAATATTAACAGTCTTTAAACATAAACATTTCATGAGAATAATTAGGTACAAATCATATTTGAATTAATGTGAGACTATAATCATGTTCAGTATAATTAATAATAATAAACTACAATTTTCAAGAAATAATAATTTATTGTTTGAAATTGTAATACTTGAATAACCTCTCATGGATTGTGAGGATAAGAGTAAACTTTAAACTTTAGATTAGTGATGATATTACACTGGTGTGAAGCATTGTTTGCCAATTCATTCAGCAAAGAGGAAAAAGAATATTTCTTAAAGTCCAAGATCAGGACACACAGGTTCTCTAGGCCAAATATTAATAAAATGATAACAGTCTCGTGGACTGACTTCTTCCATTTGTCAGAGATCGATCCTAACAGAAGGCAGCTGACCCCTGCATGGTCCCTAAAGTCTGTGTCAGTGAGATTGTCAGCGTCAGCTCCTCTCTGGCCGCCCAGTGTCCAGTGTTAGAGGGAGACAAAGACGCGGAGCTCTGCAGCAGAGGACGGCCAGGAGCACAGCAATTAACGTCAAGGCCAGAAGAGGGCACCAGACCTCATTACAGATGGTTGTGAGCCACCATGTGGTTGCTGGGAATTGAACTCAGGGCCTTTGAAAGAGCAGGCAATGCTTTTAACCACTGAGCCATCTCTCCAGCCCCCTTATTACTGTTCTTAATGTGTACTTTTTTCCTAGGGAAAAGGTAGTGCAGCTAAAATGCATTGTGTTTAAAACATTTAAAAGGTTACTGACAGAAATGAAAGCCTTTTTAAAGCCACAAGTAATTTCTTTGGAATCTCCCCAAATTGTGGTTCATGTCAGTAAAAAAAAGGGGTTAAAAGTTGAAAGATTGATACCCAGAAGATGCTCAACCATACTACAAAAGCATCTGTTCAACTATGTTCATAGCAGTATTATTTGTAATAGCCAGAACCTGGAAACAACCTAGATGCCTCAATTGAAGAATGGATAAATAAAGTGTGGCACATTTACACATTAGAGTTCTACTCAGCGGTAAAAAAAAATGACATCTTGAATTTTGCATGCAAATAGATGAAATTAAAAAACATTATCCCCAGTCCCCCCCTCAAAATGAATATGGTACGTACTCACTCAGAAGTGGACTAGCTATAAACAAAGGACATTGAGCCTATAGTTCATGATCCTAGAGAAGCTAAGTAATAAGGTGAACCCTAAGAAAAACATATATAGACCCACCTGAAAATTGGAAACTGACAAAATCTCCTAACAAAATTAGGATCATGGGGGCGTGGGGTAGAAGAAAGGGGAGAAGGGGAAGGTTGAGGAGAACTTGAGGGAATGGGATAGCTGAGATGGAGGAAGGACAGATATAAGAGAAAGAAAAGCGAAATCTTGATTGAGGGAGCCATTATGGGGTTAGCAAGAAACCCTGGCTCTAGAAAAACTCCCAGGAATCCACAAAGATGACCCCAGCTAAGACCCTAAGCAATAGAGGAGAGGGTGCCCGAATTGGCCTTGTCCTGTAGTCAGACTGATGCCTATCTTAACTATCACTATAGAACTTTCGTCCAACAACAGATGGAAACAAAGGCAGAGACCCACATCGGAGCACTGGACTGAGCTCCCAAGGTCTAATTGAAGAGTAGAAGAAATGAGAATATGAGCAAAGAAGTCAAGACCATGATGGGGACATCCACTGAAACAGTTTACCTGAGCTAATCGAAACTCTCCAACTCCAGCTGGACTGGGAATGGACATGTATAGGACCAAACTAGGCCCTCTATATGTAGCTGACAGTTGTATGGCTGAGGGGCCACTGGCAGTGGCACTGGGATTTATTTCTACTGCATGAACTGGCTTTTTGGGATCCTATTGTCTTTGGATGTTTACCTTGCTCAGCCTAGATGTAGTAGAGAGGGCCTTGGACCTTCCATAAAGTAAAGTGCCTTATCCTCTCTTAGGATTAGAGGGGGGTGGGGTGGGAGTGTGTGTGGAGGGAATGGGAGGAGGGGAGGGAGTGGGAATTTGGATTGGTATTTTTTTTAAAAAAAGGAAACTAAAAAAAAGGTGAAAGATTGAAATTTTGGTTGATTTTAAGAAATGCACATTTAATACACCCACTTTAGTGATAAACTAGTCACTAAAATTTCTATCATTGTGAATCTTGCAACTTTTTCGATTTCCAACAATCTTGAGGGACATGAAATTGCATAAGAAGTTAAGAGTTACCTAAGTATTATCAAGAAAGAGAACAGAGAATCTCACACATTCCATACCTGGCTATAGGCACAAACGAGAAGTTGGGATATAATATGCCAAGTTTTAATAACCGAGCATCACATGCCTAAGGAAGTTGCAACTGTGACATAGCTCTGTGTGTGTTTGGTGACACTGGACCTGATACAGGCTGACTGCTCTATAAGTAGAAACTCCACACATTAAAGTTTCCCCAGACATTTCCACTCTCAGTTTTACAACCAAGAGAAATAAAACTATATGTCCATGGAAAAACCTGTCTACAGATGTTCACAGAAGCATTTTTCAAGAATAGTCCAAAGTGGAACGATTCCAAAACTCCCTCAACTGATGAATGAATGGTAAGAAGATCCTCTAAGGTTTGACTGTGATGACAATGGTCACAAAGCCTTAATATACCGAACATACACGAATAACAGCAGCAAGACCCCGACCCACTGAACGATACTGTGGAAACAGGAAAATGAGATGATGTGACCCATTCTTCAATCATGCTGTTAAGATGGGCACCATCATTCCATACACTTCCTTATCACACAAAAAATTTAAATTTTGATGAAGTATTTCAAAACAAAATAAAACAACAACAGGCCAGTTAAAAACCTGTGGGGAAAATTTGGCGGCCCCTACAAACCTGTAGCAGACCACCTCTTAAATCCACGGCTATTTTTGGTATGGCCTGTTGTAGACCTGGATTGCCACTGTGTTTACACCATTTGGCTTCCAGATTGACAGTAGCAGAGAAAGGTCCCATCAGAATCCGACTTCTGTCTTTGAGGCTTGTTTTAAGGAGAAAATCGCTTATGTTGAGGAGGAATGATGATCCAAGACTTATGCCTGAAGGAGAGAAAAAGACAGGCTGTATCGTTTAATTACTCCTGGAAAAAAAAAAAGTTAGGGAAAGGACTAGGCATGTCCTAAACAGTGGGGACTCTCTCTTGGCCAGGGTTTTCCCCAGGCAGCTCTCCCCAGCTTCATGCCATTATTACAGGCATGTAATTCTAAAGCAGGTAGATATTCACATTCCTAACAAAGCAATATTTGCCAAAACATTAGGACTTTTCCATGTGTACACAATTTGGGTATTTATGAGTGGAGACGGTTTCATTAAATTCTGCACGTTTTTCACAAGTACATTAGGGACAAGGACAGCTGCTTCATTCACCCGTTACCATGACGTGAAGGGCGATTTTCGGTGCTTTCTTAAGGCAAGTTTTGGGTTGGTCCATGCTAAAATCAAAACAATCAAAATACATAACATGTGCTTTCTAAAAACTTTGGATTAATCCAAACTTCACACCTCATAACCACTCGAAGTTTACAAAGTCTTAAAAACAGATAGTGGTAGGTTAGATTTATGAGAAAAACTATATGCCAGAGTTCAAAGTAAATATGTACAGAAAAGGAATACACTTTAAAATGTAGGTTTCCTTTTGAACTTGAAGTAGGAGTGTGGATCAAAACCTTTTCATAAAGCCAATAGCAGACTTTAAGGAATTTAGATGCACAGTTAAAGTGGTGAGTTCATTTTCCTCCCAAGAAACTCATATTCTAAATTGTCACTGAGAATATTGAATTTCACCAGGCCACATCTGTAATGTTCAGGGCTTATTCTCCTAATGCTATATGATCCTGCAAAAAGATGAAAGATTAAGAAACACCTTAGGCGCAGGGTGTAGGTATGTTTTTAAGTACAGTACCTGCACTGGCTTTCTGTGGAGAACTGAACACTTCCTATGTTGTAAGTACTTATTGTGGCAGTAAGAGACACAGCTTTCCTCCACAGAAGGCATCAGAACCACAAGTGCTATCGCTACGACTTGTTTTAAAGTCACCATGGTGAGAAATGAGTTTCTTAAATCTTTTTATCAAACATGTACCCCTGAAACTTCTCGCTTTTCACAATTATCTTGAGGTTTTTTGATTTTTTTTTTAAGACAAGGCTTTGCTAAGTAGAACAGACTAGCCTCAGACACATAGAGGTCTGTCTGCCCCGCCCAGGCCCCACCCAGCCCCCCCACCCTGCCTCCGCCTATGGAGTGCTGAGAGTAAAGTCATCCGCTGCCATGCTGGCTGATTATCTCCACCTGAGCTACACACACACACACACACACACACACACACACAGAATAGAAACCTAAAAATCAGCTCAACGAAGTCAATATACCTCCTGACAACTGTGTTTACATGTGGCACGATACATAAGTCATCAATTTCTACTTCATCCTTTCAAGCTCCATTCTCTTACTCCACTATTTTACGTCATCAAGGAAAAGAAGCTGTGTAGTTGAAGTGTGCATGAGGCTGTCACATTTCAGCTTGTCAGTGAACACAGCACTAGCTGTTTGGGACCTGCCCCACAGAATGAACGTGATAGTGTAGAATCTGCCCTCCAAGTTTCTGCCTTGCCAGGCAGGAAAGAAAAGCGCCCACATCTTTGCCACTCTCCATTTACATCACTGTAAGAGAAGGAGGATGAATGGAAAGACATGGGAGCTACTTCCTCTTGGTCTCCATCAAACAAATGAAAAACCAAGAACTTTGACGGAGTTCCAATAGATCCCTCACACAGCCATGTTATTTACTTTTTTTCCTTTGAGTCTGGGTCTCATCATGTAGCCTGGGTTGACCTGAAAACTTGCTTTGTAGATCTGACTGGCTTTGAACTCACAGAGATCTGCCTGTTTCTACTTCTAGAGATGTGCACCACCACACCCAGCAGATTCTATTTAAAATTCTCTTCTTCCCCCATGATGTCGTTCTCCTGGCCTACAACCCAAACTAGATGCCACTGAGTTTAGGTGTCAAGACTTTTATCTTAACGTGTAACCAATATTCTAGTTTTCTTGTCTTATGTGATTTTGAGATTCTGACTATCAACTATTCTAAGACCCGTCTGTCAATTTCAGTTTAACTTTTTTCCCATGAGCAGAATGAGGCATTTCCCAGAGGTTAATCTAAGAGAGGATGCCCTTGGGCATCATATGGGACATGTGATCCCTCTGTTCCACTGCTATGTACAGTAACTCTAAGGGCTTTGTCTGTCAGATTTTCCACTCAGTATAGAGTTACCCTTCGGGGAAGATTCTTGGAGATTAAGTAGATAACTTTTCATCTACCTCTCATACACTAATGTCACTAGTCACTAATGGCATTCAGAATGATTACTGCTAAGTTGTGTGATAATGGTGACTTTCTAGTTCCCTGCTTTAAAAGTTGTTTTTGTAAAAAAAAAGAAAAAAAAGAAAAGAAAGGGAAAAATAAAGTTGTCTTTGTATTAGTGTTCGCATGGAATCCTAAATATGTTACAAATCAAAATTCAATATTATTATTATTATTATTACTTTGGTTTTTCTTTTTTAAAAGTTTCTTCATATATTTTAAAATTAAAATTATTATTTCAATAACAACCTGAATCCCAGAAGTTGAAGATACTGTTCATATACCCTCCCCTCGGCAGAGGAGAGGGAGTACTTGGAGGGGACAGGGTGGGACCAGTCAGGGAACCTCTAAATCTTTCTAGACCATCTACTGCTGATGGGGGGTATCCCCAGAATACTGACTCTGAGTGAAAGAGGTGGGACTGGGCTCTTTCATGGATGAGGGCTGTAGTATGAGGGGCTGGACTTGATGGGGTTTCTGTTCTGCCCAGTTCCCACAGCCGGTAAGCCCCAAAGAAAATCACACAGAGAGTCTGCATTACTTATAAACTGATTGGCCCATTAGCTCAGGCTACTTATTAGCTCTTGTAGTTTATATTAATCCATTATTCTTATCTATGTTAGCCACATGACTCAGTACCTTTTTCAGTGGGGCAGATCACATTCTGCTTCTTCAGTGATCTGGGCAGGACTGGGGAGGGAGCTTCCTGTTTCTCAGAATTCTCCTATTCTCATTGCCCCTCCTCTACTTCCTGTCTGGTTGGCATACCTATACTTCCTGCCTGGCCAATCAGCATTCATTTAAAACATGATTGACAGAATACAGACAATTCTCCCACATCATGAGGGTAAGCAGATAAGCATCCCCTCCTGTGCTATCCTTTTCCCCAGAAGGCCTGGAGACAGGAGGACCAGGTGGAAGGGATAGGTGAACATTGGGCCTTCAACTCCCATCCCTGCGCATTGGGTTGGGTGTGGGCTTTAAAACTACATAGGAAAAGGAGGCACACAGCTGGCACAAGGCCCAGAAGCCAGAGGTAGCCCTCCAAAGGCACATTGAGAGGGAAAGGAGGCTCAAATGGAACGCCCTGTGGGTGCAGAGGGCCTGTGTAGTGGAAAACCCAAGGATAGCAGCTGAGTCAGCTGTTCTGGTTTGGTCACAGCTCATAGCAATCCATCCTCTTGCGCCAGGGCAGCATTCTGGTCTGCCAGGCCTCGGATCTGTTCCTTCAGTACCTCTATCTCTTCTCTCATGGCAAACATGAGGTGGGACTTCACCAAGTCCATGGCTTATCCAATCTTCTAATCTGTCAATCCTACCAGGCTTCTGGAACCACTATCATCATCACTGTCTAGGTGACACCTGATGGCAAACATGGAATGAGCTAGGCTGAGGCCCTTGGTTGCTGTAGCTCCAAAGGAGTCTGAAGATGTGAACCTGGCTGGCATGGAAGTAGAGGGCTGGGAAGTTGGGGCAAGAGTCGACTGCAGGCACCATCCCTGTCTCCTCTGGACCAACTAACTCCATCCTCAACTGTGACAGTGGAGAGGTTCCCCAGACTCTACTTCTCCCCTCAGAGAGGGCAGGGGCTGAACACTAGAACCAGTTCCAGGTCCCAATGGGCGTTGCTGGGGTGCAGAGGCTGACAGTGGGGGTGTCCCCATCTTGGCCTAACCAGGCCCTGCCAGCTGGCTCAGTCCCACTCTATTTTGGTTTTTCGAGACAAGGTTTCTCTGTGTAGCCCTGGCTGTCTTGGAACTTGCTCTGCAGACCAGGCTGGCCTTGAACTCATAGAGATCCACCTGCCTCTGCCCCCTGAGTACTGGAAGTAAAAAATGTGTGCTGCCATGCCCTGCTCAGTGTTATTCTTATTTACTGCTTAAAATGAACCAACTTTGGTCACTGGGAACTAAACCTTTAAGTTGGTCTTTTTGATCTATCCTCCTCATTTGGGGATAAACTTCTTAACTTTCTAACCACGCTATTACAGAAGAATGGTAGCTTAAACCCAATTCTGAATGGCTGGAACGCCAACGATTCCTTGTTCTGTCTCAGTCAGGGTTTCTACTGCTGTGAAGAATAGCATGGCCATGGCAAATCTTAACAAGGAGAGCATTTAGTTGGGTCTAGCTTAAGATTCAGGGGTTTAGTCCATTGTCAACATGGCAGGAAGCATGGTGGTTCACAGGCAGGCACAGTGCTGAAGAAGGACCCGAGAGTTCTACATCTGGGTCAGCAGCAGCAGGAAGAGAGCAGCACTGGGCCTGGCTTGAGCATCGAAACCTCAAAGCCCACCCCAGTGACACACTGCCTCCAACAAGGCCACTCCTATGAGCCTATGGGGGTCATTTTCATTCAAACCACCACACTCTCTGTAAACAGAGCCATAAGAAGTGACCACATAATAATGCATGTAAACACACAACTATATCTATTTCTGTGCATACCCATCAGTAAATGCATCTGGGGTTCTAGTTAAATATCACTGGTTGGCTTCTAGTCATTTCCCTGTCTCTATTCTAACTTCCTTTTCTGAATTTGAGAATCTATACAACGTATCAAGGTTTCAGTCATCACAGTCTGCTGTCACTGGACTACTTAGCAATAGCTGTGCTGATTCCCGCTCCAGCTGCAAGGTCTCTGTACCTCAGGTGTATTGCTGCCTCTTTCAGTGC